CCCCAAAACCCCAAAACCCCAAAACCCCAAAACCCCGAAAATTTTTAAGAAAATTGAAATTTTGGATTTTTGGAATTTTTTCAGAAAAGTTAATTTTTGAGAATTTTGTGTTTTTTTTGGGGAATTTAGGAGGGTTTGAGAAGGAGTTTAGGGGGTTAGTTTTCGATTCTGTTGTAGCCGAACATTACATCTTCAAAGTTAAGGACTTTCTCTGTGTCTTTAAATTGTTTTACAATTTTTTGATGCATTTCTATCAGTTTTATTTGAAATTGGTTTGTTCTAGCCTATATAACAACTATCATAAATTATATTGATAACTTTAAAGCCCAAAAAGCACTAAAAATCCTCCATTATTATAAATTCCCTCATTCCTCAAATTCCCAAAATTGATGCTTTCTCTTCCTTACCTCTAGCCCCTCACAGCCTATGAAATACAGCCTTATACTTACCTTTAATTTCTTTTTCATAAATTTTCTTGACCTGATCTCTGAACTTATTCCTTTCATTCTGGTAGTATTCTAAAAATTATGAAGAAATGTACCAGAATTATCCATTTTACGCTGAAAAGCTATAGAAAACCGCCTGTCAGAGATCTTATTTCAAAGTCTCACGAGTCTTCTTCTTGAGAAATTCGTTATTTACGCATGATGCATGATTCTAAAGACTAAGAAGAGCCTTACTGGTAAATGGGAGTAACAACTTCATCTTTGAACCGGCCGAACGCTGTTTTGAATTCTGGATTTGGATCGAAGAAGCACCTGAGTTAAAACTGTAGTCTTGCAACCCACGGAACTTATCCCTTGATACTTTAAATGCTAACCTTTCTGTTGATTGAGACTTTCAACTGGGACCTTCGATCAATTTGAAAAGACTATACAGGTCTCAACAGATTTCAAGTACTTGTTACTTTTCTTTGATGAATAGCTTTTCATAACAGACCTGCTACGATTTTCATAGGATCTCTCTGAAGGGAGCTTATTTTCAATCAACTTCTCAAAATCTGCATTAGGAATGTCCTTGTTGTATTTGCTCTTGATCAAGTCAAGGGTAGTTGAAGGGAAAATAACCGACTTGTTATTACTATAGAATTAGCTTTATTGCGAAAGGAAATTAATTAGCCCCTGCGGCATACCTTCTACAGTTCTTCTTAGCCCACTCCTTCCGATACTCATAACTATAATTCATGTAGTCAAGCTTGGAGTGGAAGAGATCTTTGTCCTTGATGTCGCTTAAGACAGAAGAGCTTTTTCTTGGCATTCCTCTCTTGATAGTATATTCAACAGCTATATATCAAAATTATTCTCCATTGAGTCCAGATTGGAATTACCATGCCTCTTTCTTGGACTAGTCTTATAGACATATGGGGAGAGATCCCCTTGGTAGAACTGGTCTTGCTTCATCTCAAAATGATCAATGATCTTAATTTATAACAGAGATTTGGGGTTTTGGGGTTTTGGGGTTTTGGGGG